TCCCTACAGCTTTCTGTGGGGTTTCCTGCTTCTACAACACTGGGGAGCAGGGAAAAAAATGGAATCCAACAGTATCTCTAAGCCTTACTGAGATTTCTAAAATTTCATATTCCGGTCAAATCCAAGCTCTATAAACAGAAGGAAAAAAAATAAAGGAGTAAGTGAACTGAAGGAAAACTGGAAAGGGTGTGCAATCTCTGTTCAATGCACTGCTGTACTCAAAACAGCCAACAAGATGTTAAGATGCATAGATTGTGACAGAAAACAATATCAAGTTGTTAAGGGTATGTCTACAAGGTACAATGGAATAATATTCAAAGATACCCAAAAAACTGGCATCATCAGCACAGCATTTGGCCTGGGCTAGCTCTCCCAGCCTTCTGAACAAGAGCTAGCTCAGTTACCTCTGCACAGCACTGCATTGTGCTGTGTATGCATGCCTTTTAATATCTCCTCACCTGGGATGCTAAATTTAGTTGCAGCCATTCAATCTCAAAAAGACTATTGGAGCAGTAAAGCTGGTCCAAAGATAGGAACCAAAAACAACTACAGGCATGGAAAGTGCTAGACATAGAGAAAGACTTAAAAGACTGGGACTATTTAATTTAGATGAAGTCAGTAAAAAGGAACATGAAAGGGGTATCCAAAACAATGCAAGCTATACATGATCTATGGGTGTTCCTGTCCTAATACAAGATTAGAAGACTTCCACTGAAACAGGGCAGCAAATTTAAAACTATGGTCCTGGTGCCTGATGTGAATGCTGATGCAAGATGGACCTTCCCTGGTATAACTTCACTGATGTCCTTATACCAGTGCAAGTTTAGCTAAATCAGAAAAGGCCCATCTCATTTCTGGTATTAGACTGTGAATTAGCAGCCCAGCTCCACTTCACTGTGATTGGTTGATTTCAAGATAGTACATTAGGAAAGGTCTACATGCAATGTATATTTTAGAATCTAGCTGCTTAAAGGTGAGTTAAAGCATCAGAAATTATAGCTGGGATTTTTCTTTGCTCCCCTTCACCAGGGCAATTATGTCTTTTGAGACTTGCTTTTACAAATCTTACTGTGAATATTGGAACCCTATTGACAAAATTATCTTCACATACTATCCCTTTGTGAATGCTAAAAGTTACTGTTTATCTAATAATTTTGAACCCTCTGCTCCCAGAGACTAAACATACAAAAATGGAATTTCTCTCTAGCTCCATTGGTCTACTAGGCTAGGGACAGAAATTATTCATAAACTGGTAAAAATGATCAGAAACCAGTTCAGATCTGTAACACAACAGAAGTTCAGTGCTTGCAAACTGGCTGAAACTGGTTAAAGATAAATTTGTAGTATCAGACTTAACTGATTTAGGTTAAGTCGGGTTATTGAACTTCTGGCCCAGATGCCCTTCACAGCCAAGTTAACTCAGTTCCCCAACATCCCAGGATGCTTTGCACCTCTTCAGCAACATCACCTCTACCCCTGCAAGGGGGGGTGGGGGGCAGGCTAGCCTTGGCCCAGCCTGCCTGCTCCAGTTGAGCAGGGAAGCATGTTCTAGCATCGCCGCCCCCCGTCCCAGCTTCTGGCCTGGACCACTGCAAGTATGTGGAGGCATTTCCAGAATCAAAAGTGAACATCTGTTCACTTGCTTATTGGCTCAATCTATGCATCTTAGATTAACCTGAGAAGACTGAATCAATTCAGCTTCGGGCTTTTTACTGTCTGTACTTAGCCCTAGAGTTATAATAGGCACAGTTTAGTCATCCATCTGAACCAGACTAACATACATTCTCATGAATAACTCTTGTGTCCATACTGCTTTCAGAGAAAAAAAAAACTCTCAGAAAGAATACAGCATTGCTTACTAGGTGTATGAATCACCATAGTGCACACACAGTGAAACGCAACTAATAGCATTTTGCAGACTTGCTAAAATTAATACTTTTCCAAAGTCTGATTTGCTTTAAAACATATTTCTAGTCAGGTGGTGAATTGTAACACCTCTTTTGGTTCTCTTGTGAACCCAAGAGGCCTCTGTAATCATGTTATTTCAGGCACATGGCTAGGTTAGAAAAAAAATCTATTGTTTTGATAATCCTTTTTTTCTTGGATGAGTACTGAGTATGGGAGGGAGATACACTTTCTCCTAAGTTATGTGCATAGCTTTCACTGAAGAGGGCCTTCAAGGGATTTGGGAAAAAAATATGGGCTTGTGACATTTTGCTTTTTAAATGAAACAAAAAGAAAGCTTGAAAGGGTTCTCAGTCCCTTCCCCTAGCTTATTCTTTATCTTAGAATGATCAGGAGCACCAAATTTGATCTTCCCCAGTTTTGTTGGAGAATCTACTGGGTGCTTCAAATGCTAGGTACTGTATAATGTCATGTCTTCAGCCAAAACTTCTTTTACCCTAATCACAGAAGTTGACAAGGAAAGAATAAAAAAGAAAAAACCCAAGGAAGATGAAGGAGTCTGTCTAAGAATGTATGTTCTGGACACTTCTGACGTTATCAGTTCAATATTTTCCAGTCATCAACAATGGTGGGAAGCCTAATATTTCACTGAAGACCATGGAACTCATTCTGATGGACAGAAAGATTTGAGAGTATGGATTTAATTGCAAGGTCCCACCTGGTATTGTAAGCCCTGCCTATTTACATTTTCCTAGTTACCAATATTATAATGGAGTCCACAGCCCCAATCACTTTGTTATATGCTAAATAAATGAGTAAGATAAATGCAATTTCTGCCTTGAAATTTTTACCCTGTTAACTGATATCTTTCTCACTTCTAGTACCCCTAGAAGGTGAGCTCCTGGGGAGAGAATCTATTTGTATACTCAGAAACCACTTGGCAGATTTTCAGAGGATCAAGAACAGAATAGCAATACTTGTTACCTCTCTTTATTTATTCTAACAATAAATAGTGATGCTTCTTCTATAACACATTTTTATGTTTTACACATTTTTGACTAATATGAAAACTTGACTACTATAAAAATTCTGTGGCCCAGCTCTCTCAGATCAGAGAGGTATCAATGTAGAAAATAAAAGATCTGCTATCAGAATTAAATCAAAATTGAAAAGAGATTTCATTTTTTTAAATATATAATTATACAAACCAATAAGCATGTATTACCCAGAGCTGCAGCTGATACCCAATAAACTATTGTCTGCATATTTAGGAATAAATTGTGACTGGCTTTGCAGAGGGGAGAGAGCACAAAGAGCCCCTTCCTTCCTACCACTGCACTTTTTCAGGAGACAATCATAATTTGCAGGAAGCACTTACTGCCAAGAAGGGTGCTATCAGAAAGCATGAGCATAGTTTCACAGAAAGAAGTACTGGCTACACATTTTAGAAGCATAGCAGGTGCTACAGCTCAGTACTCTTATCTCAGTGCCCATCAAGGTGTTGTGCCTTATGGAGGTGAAACATCTCCCTCCAATACTATTGTGCTAAGAAGATTCCAGAGGCAAAATTGGCCCTTAATGTCTATAACTTCAACCATCAAAAAATGTATTTATCACATTCCTCAGATTTATATGAAAACTCTATAACATGTGATTGTTAGGTGTATGCCATCACAGTCCATTTGTTAGAAAAAGTCTACAAACTACAGGATGGGGGAGACACCTTGCCAGTTTCCACAAAGCTTGAGTTCCAAGTTTATTTCTTTGTTGGCCAGGCCCTTTCTAGAGCTCTGTACAGCACATACAGACATGTACAAGCTGAATTATATGCTGCAAGTAAATACAAAATTATAGCAATGCTTTGACTTTCTTCATGTTTTCTTTTCTCAAAAAATGTTATTTTTTCAGTATTGTTTGTCTTTACTGAAATAGTGGCAGTACTTACAGAAAATATGAGAGTTTGCCTTGATGTTAGAAAGTTGATTCAAATAAAATAATAAAAGGTAGTACCTGAGGGATTCCAGTCAGGGTTCAGTTCTGCAGCTCTTACTGAAGCCCCTTTGCTAAAATCAAATAAGGCAAGAGTAAGACCTGTAGGGTCAGGCCTTTTTTAATGTGAGGATAGCACAGATACCGGAAAAACTTCATATTCTGATGTTCATGTATTATTGCAGAAGTCAGTAAATTAGTGGAACTGGCACCAGCTTTAAAAAATGAAGGCTGAGGGGAGCTGGGAATGGAGGAGTGTTGTTATATTATCCTTTCACGCAGTTTTGTAGAACTCAAGAAGACAGTAAACATACCAATTACTTGCATGGTTGGTTGCACGTCTGCTGTGGCTTCTTCCAACAAAGACAGCAGTTTGGCTGATATTTGATGGACTGATTCAATGTTGCTAAACAAGCCATCCACGTCAAACCTACCAATCTGATGAAACACAAATATTAAGCAGCAATTGAGAGAACAATAAGAAGAGACTTTGTATACTGTAGACTTCCTCTTGCTAAGCCTGGTGTGCTACACTCCAGGAAATGCCACTTTTACTAAAGCCCAGGTAAACATCCTTGTTGTGATTTAAAGGTCACATGGACAGTTTTTAAAAGTAGTATCACTGGGCTGAACCAGTTAACAAGGGGCTACTACCAAATGTATTTAATCCTATTTTGATGTATGCATAAAGAGAATGTGTTTGTCTTAAAGAAAAGAAAATAGTGTCAGTTAGCTAAGAAGGATCTTTAGTCAGATAAAATGCTTATTCCCCCATAGATAAAAAGGACTTAACAACTGTAAGTGGCAGTTATGAGAGAGAATGTGACCCCCTTGATCACCTGGGGAGGCTGAATAAATTGGTACATAAACTGACCCCTGGTTATTCCAGAGCCATATAAGCAAGTAACCTTTGTGGAACAGAAAATACTATTTTATGTAAAGTGACAGATAAATCTGAGGAGTAAAATCATGGCACTATATTTTGGCTAAAACAGGCAGATTTCCAATCAAGATCATTGATGTAACATGTCAGCCAAAAACTTTGCTGGTGCAAACTGGTATCGCTTATCTGTGCTAGTAAGCTATATCACTTCATACCAACAGAAAATTTCTCCTTGTTTATTAATAGTGTAAGAATGATGTTTTCTAGCTGTGATGGTCCAGAAATTATGTAAGAGGCAAGGATTTTGTAGGGCAATACCTTTTATTGAACCAACTATGTAGTTGGGATAAAGCTATACAAATATACAGAACGCTTCATGAATTTATAGTGTTCCTGTAATCAGAGACCTGATGAAGAATGTCTTGCATTGGAAAGCGCGTCTAACTTTATCCCAACTACGTAGTTGATCCAATAAAATATATCACCCTAAGAAATCCTTGCCTCCTTATTTATTCAAAATCCTGTCCTGCTTCCTTTCAAGCAAATAAAAACATTTTGGCAAACACGTTTTTCATACTGGTCATTTGTTTCCATGCACAGAGGGAAACTGATTAAGTTTATGAAACAATTAGAGATACTCCATATGTGGTACAACTGAAAACCAAAGGCAGTGCAGAATCTGGCAGACATGTTAGTCCCTCTGAACATGCCTATTCATTAGTAATAGAATTGTATACTTACAGAGCAGCTCACAGAAGGAGTCCAGGAGAACTGAATTGCATATTATTGTACTAGAATCAACAGTATGTCTTAATTACTAGAGTAGTTAATTTTTTATTATAGAGGTTAACAAAACTTGCTCCATTAGAAAATGTGAAACAGATACATCTCTAGATGTTTTTAGTTTCCTTTAACTGTTTTCCTGTTGAAGCATCATATCCTGAAAGTTTCTATGGCTTTTGAATATAGTTATTTGCCTAAAAAATAGTCTTAAAAGCATATGACATTCTTAGAAGCTTCAACTCCTCCCCCCGCAAATGTAGACTGTGTTAAATAAAAAATGCCAGATTTTGACCTACTACTTGTTTGTGTTGGAGGCTATTATCCTTCTTTTATTAGTGGATTTCTGATGTCTCTCACAATATAGTGTGTATGTAGAATTCAGGAATATATGGCCATACAATGACCAAGGCCAGAGTAAGCACATGGGCATAACTGATAAAGATAGCAGGAAACAAAACAAAATATGTTTTCAGTCAGATGGTGAGAAGCAGATGCCAGGATCTAGGAGAAGGAAACTTATGCATTAACACTAGCATAACTTAGTGATGATTTAGGTTGGAGACAAGTGCTAACTAACTGGAGCTAGACAAGTCTAAGGGCATATCTTCTAAAAGCATATTTACATTCTGTGTCAAGCTCCCAAATGATGCTGAGAAGCATTCTCTGCCCAGTCACATCTGCTCAGTGTGTGCGTCTACACGAGACGTTTAACTGCACAGTAGCATAATTTACTGTGCAGTAAGTGCTTACACCTACATGTGCACATGCTTACTGCACAGTAAAAACCCCTAATTGTGAGTAAACGTGATACCTGCAAATGCAGGTATCAAGTTTACTTGCAATTGGTTACTGTGCAGTAATACACATCTAGACGCAACCTGGGAGCAAATTTGCAGCCAGATCAGCCCTGCCACTAGGGAGCCAGCCTCAGGCTAACCCCAGGGCTTTGGGCTGGAAGTCTCTCCTGTCCCAGGCCTGGACTGCCTGTGTGGCAGCCCCTGCCTCAGGCCTTTAAGGCTAGGGACAGATGTTCAAAAAGCTGGAGTCTGAACTGATTCAACCTTTGCAGGTTAGTGTAACCGGCTGAGGCTGAACCAGTTTATAACAAGAGAGACATGCTCTCTGGACTGAGACAATGCGGGCGCATGCCTGCAGTTGCTCAGGCCGGGTGCAGGGGGCACTAGAGCTGGCCCTTGCCTGCAGAGGAGTTGTGCTGGCGGGCAAGGCCAACCCAGGCTGAACTGTCCAGAGAGGGGTTTAATTCCCTCTCCCTGTGCCACCGGCAGGGACTCAAGCCGGCGCTGCCTGCACTCCCCCATCGCTGCTGCAGCAGGGGGGCACCATGACCCCTGAGGCAGAGGGGGGCAGAGTTAGTTTCCCCCTACCCCACCGGCAGCCAGGTGGCTCTCTGTCTGGAATAGGCCCCCAGATGCAGAAGTGTGGACACAATTGGTCAGCATGGCAGTGCTGCATAAAGGTCAAGGCCTTGTGGGCACAGTGGGTTGCCATCACCAACCACCATCATTGATTGGGGAGTGCTTGTAAATCCATGCCCTTTATGCAGCAACTGACAGACATTCTCATGCCCCAGCCAGGACCCAGGCCATAGCCATGCTGTTTACAGCAGCACAGGCAGGCTGCCTGAGCCCACATCCCAGCCTGGCACCCACGGTGATATGTCACCAGGGGAGGGCCCCTTGGGCATCCAGCAGCCTGTCCTGCTGAGCTTTCCAGCTGTTCCCTCCACCAGCAGCTTAGAGAGCCTGGGCCAACACCTGGCACACCAGCTCTGCAGCCCCAGCCTGCACCATGAGGCATGGCTGGCCATGGCATCCCTGGCTGCCAACAGGGCCAGCTCCTCCCTGGGGGAGTGAAGAGAGCACTGCCACATGCTATCCCTGTGCTGGACACGCTGCTCCTGCCCAGGGAAGTGGCTGGCCAGAGAGCAGCAAACAGGGCTGACTTTTGAAGAGGGCTACCGGCAGAGGCCCATTGCAGAGCCCTGGGAAGTGGGAGCAGATTGGCAGCAAATCTACTCCCGCTTCCTTGAATGTGTAGACACCTGACCAGCACCGTTCACTTGCAAGTAATTTACTAGCAAGTAAATTGGTGCCACAGCAAATACACACATAGACGTGCCCACTGTATGCCTGATTTTGGTGCATTAGTACCTACAGACTGGGTGTGAGTGACAAACTTCTTAGATATACTTCTTAGAGGAGCTCTGGGACTTGCCAGAGGAGCAGTGTAGATATGCTAGGGCATATATGCCAAGTTTGACAATGTAGGTTGGAACTAGCTAAGGGAAGCTTTCAGAAACAAGAAAAGGCATCAAACTTCTGCTGGAGTTTAAATTGTAGGAAAGTTGGCTGGCTATAGAGAAAGGACATGTAATATTTGAAATGAGGTGAGGACAGTAT